GTGCGAGGGACTAGCGGCATGGAGTAGAGATGAGGTGTGGCCTCGGACAGGAAAGCAAGCTCGTACTGCCGGTCCTCCACGACGTCACTGCCAAGGGCAGCAGCACCCCCGACGGATGGAGGAGGGGCAGGGTCAGAGACCCGAGCAGTACCGTAGTCAAGGCGGTGAGTAGAGGCAAATTCAATGACAGCAGCGACAAGAGCGTCAAGACTGGAGACAGGAACAGATGGGTCGGTAACAAGAGAGGCGGGGGGCTGAGGAACAAGAGGACTAGCAGCACGGAGGATGTCATACAGGGGAGGCGGAGCGACAACCAGCGAGGACGGAGGAGGCGACATAAGGAGGGATCGATGAGACGCGTGGGAACGAAGCAACATAGGGTGAGCGCAATGGATAGGAGAGACAGGACGAGCACGAGAGGGACGGCGACACCAGAAGTGGGACGAAAGCATGGGGTCAGGAGACAGGAGGAGATAAAGGAGGAGAACGCGGGGGGAAACGAACCGGAGACGAGTCCGGCGGAGGAAACACAAGACCGTAGACAGGCGAGGGAGGCCCAAGTGGGCGGTCAGGGGAGGGAAGACCAAGGAGGCGAAGGGCAGACACCAGCGGCGACTGCTGCTGCTGCTGCTCTACACCGACACCAGAACCTCCAGCTGCACCATGGCTACCTCCGAGACACTCCTCAATAGCACCCCTAGAACGAGAACCTTCTCCAGCACCGGTGCCACCCCTAGGACTGCCGGGACAAGCCACAACAGTACCCCCAGGACTGGCACCCCCAGAGCTAGCACCCCTAGACGAAAACACTCTCCAGCACCGGTACCACCCCCAAGACCGCCGGGATAAGCCACGATAGTACCCCCAATACTAGAACCCTCCTCAACACCCGCACCCCCAGAGCTCGCGGACCCCTGCGGTGGCTGCTGCTGCGGTGGCGGCAACGGCAACTGCGACTGCAGCGGCGACGGCGGCGACTGCTGCTGCGGCGGGGGCGGCAAGGGCGGCTGTTGCGGCGGAGGAGGAGGAGACACCGGGGTGGAGACAGGTGGCGACTCCGAAGTCGCAGGGCCCCCGGAGTCAGCCGACTCCTCCGCTGGGATAACCGACGGGAGTGGAGTGACGCGAGACACACCAAACGGGGCAAGACATGGAGGAAGAGGAGCAAGGGCTACCGGGGTCGTGGGGACCAGGAACTGGGGCAGGGAGACCAAAGACAAGCCCTTCATGGGACATGTGACGCAGACGTGGGAATGCGGGGTGACCTAGGCGGTAGTGCCACAGCAGAGAAGGGTGGGTGAACGACCGACACGAGCAGGCTGAAGCTAGCTGGGAGGATGCGGCAGCTTGGGGGGACGCTCCAAACGGGGGGGGGCGCAATGTCTAGCGTGAACAGGCCAAACACGGGGTCCCGGAGGAACGTGGTGAGAGGGGCACCAGTGGTGGCCTCGGTACAGACTGCGTATTGCTCGTGTCCAGGGAACATTGTGGTGACACCGAGGTCCTGAAGACAGCCGACACCAACTAGGTTCCTGGAGAACGAGGGGATGTGCAAGCCTGTAAGAGAGCCTGAGGGAACCGCCGGGCAGGGAAGGGTAGTGGAGCTATGGGCAACTACCGGACCTGTAGAGGGGTCAGCAAGCGCTACAGCGGCAGGGGCGGCAAGCGGCGTGAGCGAAGTGTGGTCGCAAAAGAAGCAGGCAGACGCACCAGAGTCTAGCTTGAACGAGAGCGCGGCGGTAGCGGCCGCAGGCGAAGGAGCTAGCGTGGAGCCGAGGCTAAACAATGCAGGTGGTCCTAAGCCTGACGCAGAAGGAGAAACTAAACTACACTCAGTGGACACACCTATACTAGCCAACATCGGGTAATAGGGTCCAGTCGCACTACAGTCATCAGCATACATGACATACAGACTCAAAGACAGGCACACTGCGATGCGCTAGGGCATACTAATCCAAAGGTCTGACGTGGGACCAAAGCAGAGACGGAAGAGGTCATCGAGGCGGCGATAACAGCGGGCGGCAGTGTGACCGGGATGGTCGAAGACGGTGCCGAGGCGGGGGCCGGTCTGAAGCTGGTATTGGCAGGTGACAACACTAGAGCTGCCACCTGACACCGAGCTGCGCGGCGCACCACCACGACCACCACCATTAGCGCTACCAGGCCACCATAGCTGCGGTGGTCCCTACGGCGGCTGCTAATGCTGCGACTGCTGCTGCTGAGGCTGCTGCTACTGCTACTGAGGTTGCTGCTGCTACTACTGCTCCAAGGCACCAGCCCCGGTCCCCTCGTCTGCACCACCGTCCCCACCCCCACCTCCACCACCCCCACCACCCTTCCCTCCGCCATGCCCCCCCTTGGGGCGGCGGCCCTTACTCGGACGCTGCTGCGCTGAGGCCGCAGCGGCGGTCTCGGCAACAAGGGCTGTCTCGGCGACATCGGCAGAAACGTCAGAGTAAGTGCACTGGGAGGGAGCACAGCCCTGGAAGCTAGGGACTGGCGCAGTACCGCTAAACTGGGCGATAGTGCGCTGGGGGGTCTGTATCGCGGACAAGGCGGCGGCTGGCGGCTATGAGCATCTGGCGGTGACAGGCGGGCAACTACAGGCAGGCCAGCGGCAACGGGCGGGCTGGCGGCAATGGGTGGCCAGCGGGGATGGGAGGCCAGCGGCTACTGGCGGCTGGCGGCTACAGGCAGCCAGCGACTACGAGCGGCTGGCGGCAGCAGGCGGCCAGCGGCGATGGGCGGCTGGCGGCAACGGGCGGCTGGTGGCTACGGGCGGCCAGCAGCTACACGCGGATGGTGGCAACGGGCGGTCAGCGGCTACTAGCGGCTGGCGGCTACGGGCGGCCAGCAGCTATGGGCGGTTGGCGGCAGAGGGTGGGCTGTCGGCAACGGGCGGCCAGCGGGGACAGGCGGGCTGGCGGCGACGGGCGGCCAGCGGGCTACAGGTAGCTGGCGGCAACGAGCGGCAGCGACGTGCGGTGGGCAGCTGGTGGCTAAGGCCGGCCAGCGGGTTGGCGGCTACGGGCTGCTGGCGGCTACAGGTGGCCAGCGGCGACAGGCGGCCAACGATTACGGGCGGCGAGAGGTGGCCAGCGGGCTACGGGCAGCTGGCAGCGACGGGCGGCGAGCAGCTGGCAGCTAAGGGCGGCCAGCAGGCTGGTGGCTACGGGTGGCTAGCAGCTACGCGCGGTCAGCGGCGACAGGCGACCAGCGGGCTGCGATCGACGGGCAGCAGGCAGCCGGCGGCTACGGGCGGCGGGCGGCTAGCGACGGGCGGCTAGGAACGGGCGGCTAGCGACAAGCGGCTTGGGCTAGGGCTAGGACGAGGGCGGAAGCGCGGGTGGGCGGGATCCTAACCTAGCGTGATACCATCTCAGAGTAAAAAGTTTAGTAGAATAATGGGGTACATAGGAATATATTCTAAGGTATTGTACTCTATATGAGCTTGCACCTATCTAGCCTGTAACATATACAAAATATATGTTGACAACTTCTGCAGCTCAAGATCAATTTCGCGCGCTCTTGACAAAACAGTCTTCTCACCTGGTGATTTTCGCGAGCCCGTCGCCTCGTAGCGAGCTCCTCGCTATTTTCGTTGTCGAATCGATGAACCTTGTTGCCACGCTCGAAAATGTCTTCGCCGCGAGTCGATGACGTCAGCTGCCATACATGATGCAACCGAGGTTGAACAATGACGAAATCCAAAAGCCCACATGACAACAAAATCTGGGGTTATTTTACGCGCATTGACAAAATCACCGGTCCGTGCTCGAGGGTGTGTGAGGGGGCTGATTGGGCCTTAACCAAAATCACCACGCCATGTGTGTTGGAAGGCGTGTGAGGGCACTGATTGGCCCTCCACCAAATCTGGAGTCGAGCAAGATGGGTTGTTTACTGTGTGAGGGCGTCGTGACTCGTGGGCCCTTCACCAGATTTACACAACATGTGTTCGCGGGGATGTTTGTGAGGGCAAGATTCCCCTTCTGCATCGTGGGCCCTTCACCAGGTTTGCGGGAAACCCCACCCGTCGCTACCAAGCATCGCTCCATGTTTCGCGGCATCTCTAGCGTGCTACGGCCCACCCGAGCGTTGCATACCTCCACTGACGCTGCCGTTACAGCCTCCAACAGTACCGAGAGACCTAGTAGCCGGAGCTCTGGTAATGGGGGCCGCTCGTTAAAGTCGAAGATTTCCCCCGTCGGAGCGCAGCACGGTGAGGGACGCCCTGCAGAGAGCGCAACGTGCCGCAGCCCCCACAACAGCCAATGGTTCTACGTCAGAACGTGATAATCGGTCGTCAGACCGGGAAACGCGGGAAGAGGTTAGGTCTCCTAGCTAGGAATGCGAGGAGAGACGCGGACGGAGGAGTGCAGTAGCAGGGGCGAGGAGTTTACCTCTCGTTTTCGCAAATAATGGCGAAGCGAGAGGACGGTTGGGGAGGAGGGCCGCGAGGGCTGCAATCGACAGCTGGAAATCGCATCAGCGCGCAGTCGCAACAGCAGGAACGGTTGAGATCGCGGCAAGGGCAGCAGCCATTTGAGCTGCCACGAAAACAGGGGCCGGCCGACCAGCAGCAGCACCCACCGCAGCATCCGCCGCTGCAGCAGCAAGTGCAGCTGGAAGATTGCCATTTTCTCCCCACATGCGCATTTCGCTGTTTTTTTTCCGCCACTTTGCTGCAGAGAGTTACTTAGAAATCCCCTCTGAACTGTCAGTGTAAATGTTGTAGAGAGAAAAAAAACCCTGGAAAATCAGAGAAAACATCGGGGGTCACTCTGATTTTTAGAGTAATGAAAAAACCACTCCCAAATTTCAGAGTAGTAAAAATCCAAAAGTAGGCCCTGGATAGCAGTGCTCCTCAGTAAGGAATTACTAATTCCTTACAACCAGTGTCTCATACACTTGTTAAGTGCTTTGTTACACGTTATCGAACCAGAATGCACACAGCGCGAATTCCCATGTCGTGTGTGACAGATCCTGGATCCGCTTGTGTGCAGGGCCGCAACAATCCCTACCACCAGATCCATGTCCGCTCTCCTCTCACCTAGTCCCAGCAGGTAGGTGCTTTCCGGAAGGCGCTGGTCGCTGCGCGCCGATGGCCGACGACCACCCCGCGCAAGCTGCTGCCGCGGTCGCGTGCGGACGGGACGGACGCGGCGGGGATAGCGGAGGGCGGGGAAGGGGCGAGCACGCGGCGCGCGGGGGCGAAGGGGAGGAGGGAGGATAGCGAGGGGGAGAGGCAAGGGAAGGGGCGGAGGCGAGGCGTGGCGAGGGACGAACGGTGCGACGGACGAGGAGAGGTGAGCGACGGAGACGCGATGGCGTGACGGCAAGAGAATGATGATGATGCTGATGTGGCGGTGGTGTCAGTGGTCACGTGGGACCAAGTGACGCTGGCATGCGGCAGCAAGTGCGGGTGTGGGTTTAACCACGCGGGGCGATGCATGCCCAATCTCACCTCGCGCGTGCGCCGCATCGCCTAGTTGTCCTCCGCCGTCAGCCTCTTCCCTCCGCTCACACCCTCCGCCCTCCCCACCTTCCTCCGCTCACACCCGCCGCCCTCCCCACCTTCCCCCGCTCACTCCTTTCGCCCCCCGCTCGCCCTTTCGCCCCATGCCCGCTCTTCTTCTCCCTCACTCTGCCCGTCGATCCCCTCCCCTCCCCCCAGCGTGGCGGCGTGGGCGTGCGCGCGGCTGGGCGAGCCGAAGCGGGCGCTGATGAGGCGAGCGGTGCACGCAGTGGGGGGCGACGCCGTTGCGCAGATGCTGGTGGAGGTAAGGGGGGCGGGGGGGGAGGGGAGGGGGGAGGGCAGGGGAAGAGGAGGTGAGGGCGCGGGAGATGGGGTTTGGGGGACGGCAGAGGGGATGGGTGGAGGAGAGGAGATGAGGAGAGGGGGTGCGGTGTGAGGGAGAGGGAGTGAGGTGTGAGGGATAGGGGAGAGGGCCAGGGATGGTGCTGGAATGGCTTGGTGGGTGGCGGTATGGATGGCACGTTATGCCATGGGTGCACTGTGGGATGGATGGCATGGGACGCTACGGTGGAAGGCGTTGCTGCTCGTGGCGGTCGGAATGCAGTGGATGCCCGTAGTGGAGGGACCCAACCCCAAACCCCAAACCTCGAACCTGTGTCCAAATTCCGGGTCATAATTTGTTTTGCTCCCATTCCTCCGTTTCCTCCTCCTCGCCCCGCCAGGTGGACGCGGTGCAGCGCTGTGGAGGGCAGCTCACGGCGGATGGCAAGAGGCGCCGCACTCCGGGCGGCGTGTTCTGGAACGTTTTGAGGGCGAGAGTCAGTGCTGACGTGTACATCGAAATCATGGCGCAGGAGAGAGACGTGCAGGTATGGGCAGAGAGAGACGTGCAGTTGGGAGAAGAGGGAGCCAAGGACCCGCCTGCCTCTCCACATGTGTGCCTCCCGTCGTCTCCACCTCGCTTCACCTTGTGTGTCGCCATGCCATTGCCTGCGTACCTCTGTGCGTGCCCTGCGGCGCCATTGCCCTCTTTCCCACCGGTGCGTGCAGAAGCGGCGGGACAGAGGGCAGGCGCGCAAGAAGAGGAGGAAGCAGCAGCAGCAGCAGGGGAAGGGCGTGAGTGGGTCCGGATGTCTTGCCTCCTGTAGTGCTGCCAGTGCCAATAAGGAAGGCAGTGCGTTGGACGAGCCGTGGTGTGATGCCAGCCATGGCAGTGATGGCAGCGATGGCATGAGCCTCTCGGTGGACGGCTTGAGTGATGCTGACCATGATGCTCTTGATGATGCTCATGCTGCCACTGATGCTGCTGATGTGGCGCAGGATGCGTGGACTGGGCGGCATGCAAGAAATGGCATGTCTGCCCATGTGGATGGCAGGCTGCAGGTGGGGCACGGCGTGAGGGTGCGTGGAGGGGACATGGTGGATGGCATGGCGGCGGTCAGATCGGGGCAGGGGGTGGGCAGAGAGACGGGAAGGGGGGTGGGCAGAGGGAGCAGAAGAGGTGGAGGCGATGGAAGGGGAGGAGGAGAGGCAGGAGGGGGTGGGGATGCGGAGGAGAGCGGTGAAGAAGGGGAGATGGACGGAGGACAGTGCGGCAGAGGCGAGGCAGGAGTAGGTGGTGTGGGCGAGGGGGCGAGTGGCAGTGGGGGGAGGGTGGCGGACAAGGGGAGGAGAGCGGCAGGTTGAGAGGCAGGGAGGGGGGCGAGGGGGTGGTGGAGGAGGCGGGGCAGCGGGGTGAGGGCAAGGGGACGGGCGGGCATGTGGATGTGGAGGAGAGGGTGCGGCTGGACGTGGCAGTGGCGTCGGGCGCTGTGAAGCAGGTGCACCACGCATGGCGCTGCGCTGTCATGGCAGGCGGGGGCGCAGGGGGAGAGGACGGGTGGGGGGAGGGGAGCAGGGAGAGGAGGGCGAGTGGCGAGCAGGCGATGCGGCAGTGGGGCTGGGCGCGCCTGCTGGAGCCGCTGCTCTGGCGGTGGGTGGTGAGGGGGAGGGTGTGCGTGGCGGTGAGGAGAGGAAGGGTGGGGATGGCATGGAGGTGGATGGTGAGTGTGAGGAGCAGCAGCAGGGGGGCGGGGGAGAGGTGCTGGCAGTGGAACGGCATGGTACACATGCTGCTGCCAGCAGCATTGCGGGTGAGGGGGCCGCAGTTTCGACCCCTCTGCCATGCGATGCCTCTGAGAGCACTGCAGATAGACATGGCAGTGCGGGAGGTGAGTTCGAGGCAGCAGCAGCTGTGGAAGCAGTGCACAGGGCAGGGGAGGGCGGGCAGAGGGTGCCTGTGAAGCAGCGCCTGCGCATGCCAGTCACATATGATGACGTGCCTCTTGTGGCTGAGGGAGCAGTAGAAGCTGCCACGGTTTGAAGGATGGCTGGTTGGTTCCATGGAAGCTTCGTGTAGTAGAGTCGGTTGGTACGCTGCTGAAACTGGCAGAATCGTCTCCAAGCAGTGTAAAACCTTGAACTGTTCGATTTCAACATCCATCGAAAGAAGCAATTATGGTGGCTTTTGTGTAGTATAAATATGTTACTGGATCAGCTCTCAACTAGAGCTGAAACATAGAATGGACCACCAATGAAGTGATATCATGATAATTATGTGCAGAAAATTCCCCCCACACGGTAGGCTCTAATGCCCAATTAGTCGCTTTGTATAGTTTTGTGATCATAACTTGGTCATATAAATAGCTCAATATATATATAATTTTATGTATATTTTAGAGTGTTGAAGTTCATACCTTTCGAACAGGCTTCGTTAGTGGTGCTCCAAGACCAGAACGACGTGCTATCCAAGAACGAGATCTCGAAGCCGCTTGGAGCGACTCCAAACAGCACGATGTCTGTACATTTTATGCACATTTTCCGCGCCTCACGGTTTGGATGTTCTAGCTAGCAATAGAACCCTAAGAGCGTATTTTTGGGTCACGAATCGTTCTAAAACGCGAAGTACACCATTTCTCCTCTACTGTCCCACCCTGAACAGTCCAAATTGTAATCCCACCTGTCAAGTTCTCAGCATGACTCGCATTGACGCTGAACCTGATTGGCTGGAGTCTGAGCGATAGCGAATTGATAAGTCGTATTTCGATAATTGCGAGAATCCAAGCTTGGAGGTCGCGCAGGCAAACTATATAGTGCATGAGCGAGAATTTGTAACCAAGTGAGAATTCGTAATTACATATCATATGCGATTGGTGCAACGATGGCAAGCGCAAACTTTTTGCAGGTGCAATTATTATGTAGGTGCAACACCCACGTATGCAACCCGACCAATGGAAACAAGTGTAGACATCATGTGAAAAAATTGTCGCCATCAATATAAATCGTATAATCCACGCTCATGCGCTCCTGAATAGTCAACGCCACATTCTAATCGCAATGTGTCATAAATACCAAGAAATCTTTTTGTTGCGATCCATCCATTTACTGGCTGACGCGGAAACACCACGCTAGCCAATAACCGCACGCCATCTACGTTGACGGAATCATATGAAGTTCGGCCACGTACTCTTCCTTGTCAACGTGTGCTGTAATTTATAAGTGGTGGTGTTTTTAATTGTCGTTTCACATTGTTATGTGGTATTTCCAACCTAAAATAGTTTCGAATATGTCTATAGTCGACTCAATTGATAATCTTGAGTCAAACCTTGTTTTGTTCTTGTGGTAATGCATTAATTAGCGTGCGTATATGAAACCTAAAGTGGACACCAAGGCTTATGTTTGTTTTTTTCGGGCACCTGTCAGTTCCAGGTATCTTGCCAAAGCTACATGTTAGAATCCGTATTGAGTACTATATTTTGTAAAAAAAAACCCATCAAATCCGGGTTTCACAGCTAGTTCTGCCAAAAGTCGCCCGTCGGAATCTGGCTTCCATGTTTTTGTAAAAGAAAGCCGTGGGAATCCGAATTCTGCAAATACCTCACCAGTTATTTTGCTGAAATCCGGGTAGTTCCCCATAAAAAATACGCCTTGGTGGACACGCCATGCGAACACCTCGCGATATGCCTACGTGGACCTCGTCGCATCTAATGACAGCGTCCCCGCCTATGACAGCTATGCATACGACATCGTCCCCGCCCCTGCCAACTACGCATACGACAACGCTCCTACTTTCTTGGGAAGGCTACAAGCAAATTTGCCCGGGGCATACCGTCTTATGCGCGAAGTGCCTCATTCCAACATTCTTGGACTTTGCACTACCGGAATACGATATGTATCTAGGTTTTTTATAGTGGGTTTTCCCCTACAATGTCACGTTTGCCCGGGTTTGGCTGTTTCCTTCTTACAAGATCACGCCGCGTGCAAAAAACGTGGGACACAATAGGAGAAAATGTGTATCACAGCGTGAATAGTGAGAAGAATCAAGATAAAGACAAAATAGTATGATTGTATAATTGAGTAGGACAAGAATGCAATAGTAAAATTATAAGACGTATATATGAAATTATAATGTGCTTGTAAAGAATTGGAAAAAAGGTACTCAAATGAGTAAAAGGGGACTTGTGAAGAGAGAAATGCTTGTAAAGAAGAGTGAGAGACTTACTTATATATATCTTATAAGGTAGAGAAGTTGTAGAAACTTGGGAGCGGTTCTTGATAGAGGAAGACTTGCACTTGGGAAAAGGGTCTTGAGCTTAGAAGAGGACCACAAACTTAAGAAGGGACTAGAATCTTGGATATGGTTGAACGAGAGGGTCTTATACTTGAAGAGGGAGTCTTCCTACAAGCTTGTGGCTTGGTAATACATCTTATACTCAAGTTGGGTATAAGATGGTCTAGTGTTTGATTACTTTGCTGATCAGGAACTTTGTGTGAGAACTCTGAGAGCATAAACTTATATGAAAGATGACAAAGTACATGCCTTATAATCCATGGTGGATATAAGGAAATGCATGAGAAGGGTAGCATAGTAATACCATCTCTAGAGACATAGAACATGAATGCTAACAAGGAGCCTTTGTAGTGGTGTGAACTTAAGGAGCTTGAAGAAGACTTGAAGGTGGGCTTGAAGGAGAGGAGCTTGGAGATGCCTTGTTGAACTTTGAGAAACTTCTTGAGACGTTGGAGAAGATGAGTAGTAGCGGAGCATGTGATGGTTGTTGAGCCTTTGGTGACATGGAGTTGTAAACCATGTGATGTTAGAGAGAAACTTGGATGAGTTGGAAAAGAAGGAAAGGAGGAGGAATGAAAGCTTTGTTGAGTTGGAAGATGAGGAGTGTACGGAATCATGAGAGTCTTGTGTGATGATATGGCAACTTGGATGACTTGGGATAGGAAGGAAGGAAGGAATAAGGGACATGTGATGGTTGATGAGTAGGGAAAGGAGGAATGTGCTTGAGGCACATGTGAGGAGGATTATTGGTTGGAGTAGATGACTTGGAGAATTCTTGATGAGTGGGAAAAGAGATCACATAGAAAATGATGAAGAGTCATGTGCATTGAGGTAGGAGTTGGACATGAATAGGAGGATTTGTTGGAAGCTTGGTTAAGGTGGACTATGAATAATTATGAGAGTTGGGGAAAATTAAGGAGTAGTTGGGAGGCATTAGGTTGGAGGAGATGAGCTGGAAAAGTTGGGTTGGAAATTTGGTAGGTAGAGTAGGTTTGGTTGGTGGGAAATGGGTTGGAGTAGAAGGTGTTTAAATTGGTTGGTGAAGATTTGTAACGAGCGGTTTTGGAGGGGGAGGGGTTGGAGTGGCGAGAAAAAATGTGGCACAACAGGATCGCCGTTTCCTTCTTACAGGATCGCGCCGCGTGCAAAAAACGTGGGACACAATAGGAGAAAAGGTGTAACACAGCGTGAATAGAAGATCCTTTTCCAGCGTGAATGGAATTTCACATGCCTGCATTGGGTGACAGAACCTGAACCCCTTGCTTCCACTGCGGAACCACGCTTCCCCTCCTCCCGCGCCTCGCTCCCTCGTCCCCCGCGTACCCAGGCCGCGTGCACGCAAGCGCTCTCGTTCCTTTCATGTCGGGCGCGGCGCTCAGGAGATGGTGAATGGGGGCGGCCTGCCCATCCGATTCCGCTATAAGCCTCTCGATACAAGCGCCGTGCCAAACCACCAGCAGCCATTCACCTCTCTGACCGTTCCCCGCAAAATGCCGCCGCACGCCAGGACCAGCGCCGCGCGGAGGGCGGCGGGCGTCCCAGGCTCCGCGCGCAGCTTGCGCTACTTCCCCCTGGTGGGCCCCATCGCGCTCGGCGCGCTCTACCTGCTCTTCCTCCTCACGCGCTGGGGGGCGAAACCCTCCGCCGTGGGCGCAAGCACGCCGTGGTGAGTGGCGGAGGGCATGGCGGCGACGACACAGGGCGGGCGGCGGCGCATTACAGGGCCGCGAAGGCGGGCGTGGGGGTGGGGAGGGGAATGAGGGAAGGTGCCATGGGGGGAATGGGGGAATGGGGGGAATGGGGGAATGGGGGAATGGGGGAATGGGGTGGGACGACGGAAGGGCTGTGAGAAGGAGCGGCATCACCTGGGGCACATCCCACCTCTCATTCGCTCATGCCCTCTCCGCCTCTTCCTCCTCCACCCGCCCCTTCCCCCCCCCCCCCCCACCCCCCCACCCCTCCAGGCTCTCCATCGCCTACATGCCCTCGGGGGAGGGCTACCTGCTGCTCCTCGCTCCCCCGCGCTACTCCGCCCCCTCCTCCCCTTCCCCCTACCCCCCGCCTGAGCGCCAGCAGCAGCGCCTGCGGCTGCCCGCCATGGAGGTGGGCGGCGTGCGGGTGGAGGGGCTTGCTGTGGGCGGCAGGGGACGGACTGCCAGCTGGCAGGGCGGGGTGGCGGGAGGAGGGGAGGGGGCGGGTGCAGCGGAAGGTGAGTGTGTGGAGGGAGGTGTGTGTGTGGAGGGAGGTGTGTGTGTGGAGGGAGGTGTGTGTGTGGAGGGAGGTGTGTGTGTGGAGGGAGGTGTGTGTGTGGAGGGAGGTGTGTGTGTGGAGGGAGGTGTGTATGTGGAGGGAGGTGTGTGTGTGGAGGGAGTGAAGAGCGGGGCATGCTGCATGGCACCAGGTGTCTCTGCAGGTCTCCCTTGCTCTGCAGGTCTCCCTTGCTCTGCAGGTCTCCCTTGCTCTGCAGGTCTCCCTTGCTCTGAAACGAATCATGCCCCCAATTGCTCCACCACCCTGTCCCTTGAGCCTCCCTCATCTCGTCCCCTGAGCCTCCCTCATCTCGTCCCCTGAGCCTCCCTCATCTCGTCCCCTGCCTGCATCGCACCGCTCTCACCATGCCTCTCATCTCCCATCCTTCTCCCCTCACCCTGCCCGCGCTCTCCATCAACCCCACACCACTGCAGCCCAGCCTGCCGCCCCAAATGCCTCTGCCTCCCCCACAGCCGCCCTGCCCGCGCCCCCTCGGTGGTCGTGACGGCGAGCCGGCTGAGCGCACACGCCGTGGTGATGACGTGGGAGCTGAGCAACCCCCTCATGTTCCCCGATGGGGTGGACTTCACCGTGCGGGTGAGAGGGGGGGGTTGACGGTACGGGAGGAGGTGAAACGGACGTGGGGGTTGAGGGGACTTTCCCACTGCACTCGGGTGGGGTGCAGTGATCGAGGATTCACCACCTTCCCCTGCCACACTCATCTCTCCTTTGCTCTACACGCCCTCATGCTGCCAAGCAGACACCGCACCATGCACCGTGCACCGTGCACCATGCACCATACACCACGCACCATGCACCATGCACCATGCACCTGCACCAAACACCATGCACCATGCACTATGCACCACACACCATGCACCATGCACTACGCACCACACACCATGCACCATGCACCATGCATGCACCATCCACCATCCACCATGCACCATGCACCATCCTCCATGCACCATGCATGCACCATCCACCATGCGCCATGCACCATGCATGCACCATCCACCTTGCACCACGCACCATGCACCATGCACCATCCACCATGCGCCATGCACCATGAACCATGCGCCATGGACCATGCACCATGCACCATGCGCCATGCACCATGCACTATGCGCGCCATGCGCCATGCACCATGCGCCATGCACCATGCGCCATAAGCCATGCACCATGCACCATGCGCCGTGCACCATGCGCCATGCCCCATGCGCCATGCGCCATGCACCATGCGCCATGCACATGCGCCATGCACCATGTGCCATGCACCATGCGCCATGCGCCGTGCACCATGCGCCATGCACCATGCGCCATGCGCCATGCACCATGCACCATGCGCCATGCGCCATGCGCCATGCACCATGCGCCATGCGCCATGCACCATGCGCCATGCACCATGCGCCATGCACCATGCCCCATGCACCATGCGCCATGTGCCCTTGCACCATGCGCCATGTGCCCTGCACCATGCGCCATGCACCATGCACCATGCGCCATGCACCATGCGCCGTGCACCATGCGCCATGCGCCGTGCACCATGCGCCATGCACCATGCGCCATGTGCCATGCACCATGCGCCATGCACCATGCACCATGCGCCATGCACCATGCGCCATGCGCCGCCATGCGCCACCCATGCGCCCATGCGCCATGCACCATCGCCATCGCATGCCATCACATGCGCCGTGCACATTTGCCTTCGCATTCATTATGGTGCTCAACACAGTCGTCTCGCTCTTGAAGCGCATGGGCTTGGCAAGCAACGCATGCACCGCGGACACGCCTGTCATGCACCGCGGACACGCCTGTCATGCACCGCGGACACGCCTGGCATGCACCGCGGACACGCCTGGCATGCACCGCGGACACGCCTGGCATGCACCGCAGACACGCCTGGCATGCACCGCGGACACGCGTGGCATGCACCGCGGACACGCCTGGCATGCACCGCGGACACGCCTGGCATGCACCGCGGACACGCCTGTCATGCACCGTGGACACGCGTGTCATGCACCTTGGACACGCCTGGCATGCACCGCGGACACGCCTGTCATGCACCGCGGACACGCGTGTCATGCACCGCGGACACGCCTGGCATGCACCGCGGACACGCCTGTCATGCACTGCGGACACGCCTGTCATGCACCGCGGACACGCCTGGCATGCACCGCGGACACGCCTGTCATGCACCGCGGACACGCGTGTCATGCACCGCGGACACGCCTGGCATGCACCGCGGACACGCCTGGCATGCACCGCGGACACGCGTGTCATGCACCGCGGACACGCGTGTCATGCACCGCGGACACGCCTGGCATGCACCGCGGACACGCGTGTCATGCACCGCGGACACGCCTGGCATGCACCGCGGACAGGCCTGTCATGCACCGCGGACACGCCTGGCATGCACCGCGGACACGCCTGTCATGCACCGCGGACACGCCTGTCATGCACCGCGGACACGCCTGGCATGCACCGCGGACACGCTTGGCATGCATCGTCTTGAAGTTTGCCATTCCCCCCTCAGATAGCAGACAATGCATCAGGGTGGTACGGTGGCGGAGAGCGGTTCAATGCGGTGAACCAGAGGGGCAATGTGCTGCCCATGTTCTCACTCGACCGCTTCACTGACGTGCCTGTAAGCCTGACTATAAGCGTGTGACTGTAAGGGTGTCAATGTAAGCGTGTGACTGTATGCATGTGCCTGTAAGCCTGTGGTAGTAGCGAGTGAGTGTATGCTTGTGAATGTAAGTGTGTGTCTATGCATGTGACTTCAGGTATGCATGTCTGTTGTAGTTGTGCCTTGCTTTGGGTGTACATCTTCGCCTCTGTTCGTCTAATCTATGTCCAAACCTTTGTCTCACTCCCTTCCGTCTCTTCTTTGAATGTTAAAGCCCACCACCCCCCTTGCTGCTGGCCTGTCGTGTTTTTTGCCACTCCCTCCCTGCCAACGCTTGCCCGGCCTTGTGTCGTCCCTCTGAGTGCCCCCCCAGGCGCACCGCAGCTACAAGCCGGTGCCGTTTGTGATGAGCAGCAGCGGGTACGGCGTGTGGGTGCAGTCGTACGCCAACGGCACCTTCAGCCTCGCCACCCACGACGAGCCGGATGTGCTGGTACGCCACCCACGACGAGCCGGATGTGCTGGTACGCCACCCACGACGAGCCGGATGTGCTGGTACGCCCACACGAGCCGGATGTGGTACGCCACCCCACGACGAGCCGGATGTGCTGGTACGCCACCCACGACGAGCCGGATGTGCTGGTACGCCACCCACGACGAGCCGGATGTGCTGGTACGCCACCCACGACGAGCCGGATGTGCTGGTACGCCACCCACGACGAGCCGGATGTGCTGGTACGCCACCCCACGACGAGCCCGGATGTGCTGGTACGCCACCCACGACGAGCCGGATGTGCTGGTACGCCACCCACGACGAGCCGGATGTGCTGGTACGCCACCCACGACGAGCCGGATGTGCTGGTACGCCACCCACGACGAGCCGGATGTGCTGGTACGCCACCCACGACGAGCCGGATGTGCTGGTACGCCACCCACGACGAGCCGGATGTGCTGGTACGCCACCCACGACGAGCCGGATGTGCTGGTACGCCACCCACGACGAGCCGGATGTGCTGGTACGCCACCCACGACGAGCCGGATGTGCTGGTACGCCACCACGACGAGCGATGTCTGGACGCACCCACGACGAGGCCGGATGTGCTGGTACGCCACCCACGACGAGCCGGATGTGCTGGTACGCCACCCACGACGAGCCGGATGTGCTGGTACGCCACCCACGACGAGCCGATGTGCTGGTACGCCACCCACGACGGAAAGACACCGGATGTGCTGGTACGCCACCCACGACGAGCCGGATGTGCTGGTACGCCACCCACGACGGAGCCGGATGTGCTGGTACGCCACCCACGACGAGCCGGATGTGCTGGTACGCCACCCACGACGAGCCGGATGCTGGTACGCCACCCCACGAGCCGGATGTGCTTGGTACGCCACCCCACGACCGAGAGCCGGATGTGCTGGTACGCCACCCACGACGAGCCGGATGTGCTGGTACGCCACCCACGACGAGCCGGATGTGCTGGTACGCCACCCCACACGAGCCGGATGTGCTGGTACGCCACCCACGACGAGCCGGATGTGCTGGTACGCCACCCACGACGAGCCGGATGTGCTGGTACGCCACCCCACGACGAGCCGGATGTGCTGGTACGCCACCCACGACGAGCCGGATGTGCTGGTACGCCACCCACGACGAGCCGGATGTGCTGGTACGCCACCCACGACGAGCCGGATGTGCTGGTACGCCCACCCCACGACGAGCCGGATGTGCTGGTACGCCACCCACGACGAGCCGGATGTGCTGGTACGCCACCCACGACGAGCCGGATGTGCTGGTACGCCACCCACGACGAGCCGGATGTGCTGGTACGCCACCCACGACGAGCCGGATGTGCTGGTACGCCACCCACGACGACCGGATTGCTGGTACGCCACCCACGACGAGCCGGATGTGCTGGTACGCCACCCACGACCGAGCCGGATGTGCTGGTACGCCACCCACGACGAGCCGGATGTGCTGGTACGCCACCCACGACGAGCCGGATGTGCTGGTACGCCACCCACGACGAGCCGGATGGCTGGTACGCCACCCACGACGAGCCGGATGTGCTGGTACGCCACCCACGACGAGCCGGATGTGCTGGTACGCCACCCACGACGAGCCGATGTGCTGGTACGACGAGCCGGATGTGCCGGTACGCCACCCACGACGAGCCGGATGTGCCGGTACGCCACCCACGACGAGCCGGATGTGCTGGTACGCCACCCACGACGAGCCGGATGTGCTGGTACGCCACCCACGACGAGCCGGATGTGCTGGTTACGCCACCCACGACGAGCCGGATGTGCTGGTACGCCACCCACGACGAGCCGGATGTGCTGGTACGCCACCCACGACGAGCCGGATGTGCTGGTACGCCACCCACGACGAGCCGGATGTGCTGGTACGCCACCCACGACGAGCCGGATGTGCTGGTACGCCCACCCACGACGAGCCGGATGTGCTGGTACGCCACCCACGACGAGCCGGATGTGCTGGTACGCCACCCACGACGAGCCGGATGTGCTGGTACGCCACCCACGACGAGCCGGATGTGCCGGTACGCCACCCACGACGAGCCGGATGTGCGGGTACGCCACCCACGACGAGCCGGATGTGCTGGTACGCCACCCACGACGAGCCGGATGTGCTGGTACGCCACCCACGACGAGCCCGGATGTGCTGGTACGCCACCCACGACGAGCCGGATGTGCTGGTACGGCCACCCACGACGAGCCGGATGTGCTGGTACGCCACCCACGACGAGCCGGATGTGCTGGTACGCCACCCACGACGAGCCGGATGTGCTGGTACGCCACCCACGACGAGCCGGATGTGCTGGTACGCCACCCACGACGAGCCGGATGTGCTGGTACGCCACCCACGACGAGCCGGATGTGCTGGTACGCCACCCACGACGAGCCGGATGTGCCCTGGTACGCCACCCACGACGAGCCGGATGTGCTGGTACGCCACCCACGCCCCACGACGAGCCGGATGTGCTGGTACGCCACCCACGACGAGCCGGATGTGCTGGTACGCCACCCACGACGAGCCGGATGTGCCGGTACGCCACCCCACGACGAGGCCGGATGTGCTGGTACGCCACCCACGACGAGCCGGATGTGCTGGTACGCCACCCACGACGAGCCGGATGTGCTGGTACGCCACCCACGACGAGCCGGATGTGCTGGTACGCCCACCAACGACGAGCCGGATGTGCTGGTACGCCACCCACGACGAGCCGGATGTGCTGGTACGCCACCCACGACGAGCCGGATGTGCTGGTACGCCACCCACGACGAGCCGGATGTGCTGGTACGCCACCCACGACAGCCGGGCTGTAGCCGGATGTGCTGGTACGCCACCCACGACGAGCCGGATGTGCTGGTACGCCACCCACGACGAGCCGGATGTGCTGGTACGCCACCCACGACGAGCCGGATGTGCTGGTACGCCACCCACGACGAGCCGGATGTGCTGGTACGCCACCCACGACGAGCCGGATGTTGCTGGTACGCCACCCACGACGAGCCGGATGTGCTGGTACGCCACCCACGACGAGCCGGATGTGCTGGTACGCCACCCACGACGAGCCGGATGTGCTGGTACGCCACCCACGACGAGCCGGATGTGCTGGTACGCCACCCACGACGAGCCGGATGTGCTGGTACGCCACCCACGACGAGCCGGATGTGCTGGTACGCCACCCACGACGAGCCGGATGTGCTGGTACGCCACCCACGACGAGCCGGATGTGCTGGTACGCCACCCACAACGACGAGCCGGATGTGCTGGTACGCCACCCACGACGAGCCGGATGTGCTGGTACGCCACCCACGACGAGCCGGATGTGCTGGTACGCCACCCACGACGAGCCGGATGTGCTGGTACGCCACCCACGACGAGCCGGATGTGCTGGTACGCCACCCACGACGAGCCGGATGTGCTGGTACGCCACCCACGACGAGCCGGATGTGCTGGTACGCCACCCACGACGAGCCGGATGTGCTGGTACGCCACCCACGACGAGCCGGATGTGCTGGTACGCCACCCACGACGAGCCGGATGTGCTGGTACGCCACCCACGACGAGCCGGATGTGCTGGTACGCCACCCACGACGAGCCGGATGTGCTGGTACGCCACCCACGACGAGCCGGATGTGCTGGTACGCCACCCACGACGAGCCGGATGTGCTGGTACGCCACCCACGACGAGCCGGATGTGCTGGTACGCCACCCACGACGAGCCGGATGTGCTGGTACGCCACCCACGACGAGCCGGATGTGCTGGTACGCCACCCACGACGAGCCGGATGTGCTGGTACGCCACCCACGACGAGCCGGATGTGCTGGTACGCCACCCACGACGAGCCGGATGTGCTGGTACGCCACCCACGACGAGCCGGATGTGCTGGTACGCCACCCACGACGAGCCGGATGTGCTGGTACGCCACCCACGACGAGCCGGATGTGCTGGTACGCCACCCACGACGAGCCGGATGTGCTTGGTACGCCACCCACGACGAGCCGGATGTGCTGGTAACGCCACCCCAGCGAACGAGCCGGATGTGCTGGTACGCCACCCACGACGAGCCGGATGTGCTGGTACGCACCCACGACGAGCCGGATGTGCTGGTACGCCACCCACGACGAGCCGGATGTGCTGGTACGCCACCCACGACGAGCCGGATGTGCTGGTACGCCACCCACGACGAGCCGGATGTGCTGGTACGCCACCCACGACGAGCCGGATGTGCTGGTACGCCACCCACGACGAGCCGGATGTGCTGGTACGCCACCCACGACGAGCCGGATGTGCTGGTACGCCACCCACGACGAGCCGGATGTGCTGGTACGCCACCCACGACGAGCCGGATGTGCTGGTACGCCACCCACGACGAGCCGGATGTGCTGGTACGCCACCCACGACGGAGCCGGATGTGCTGGTACGCCACCCACGACGAGCCGGATGTGCTGGTACGCCACCCACGACGAGCCGGATGTGCTGGTACGCCACCCACGACGAGCCGGATGTGCTGGTACGCCACCACGACGAGCCGGATGTGCTGGTACGCCACCCACGACGAGCCGGATGTGCTGGTACGCCACCCACGACGAGCCGGATGTGCTGGTACGCCACCCACGACGAGCCGGATGTGCTGGTACGCCACCCACGACGAGCCGGATGTGCTGGTACGCCACCCACGACGAGCCGGATGTGCTGGTACGCCACCCACGACGAGCCCGGATGTGCTGGTACGCCACCCACGACGAGCCGGATGTGCTGGTACGCCACCCACGACGAGCCGGATGTGCTGGTACGCCACCCACGACGAGCCGGATGTGCTGGTACGCCACCCACGACGAGCCGGATGTGCTGGTACGCCACCCACGACGAGCCGGATGTGCTGGTACGCCACCCACGACGAGCCGGATGTGCTGGTACGCCACCCACGACGAGCCGGATGTGCTGGTACGCCACCCACGACGAGCCGGATGTGCTGGTACGCCACCCACGACGAGCCGGATGTGCTGGTACGCCACCCACGACGAGCCGGATGTGCTGGTACGCCACCCACGACGAGCCGGATGTGCTGGTACGCCACCCACGACGAGCCGGATGTGCTGGTACGCCACCCACGACGAGCCGGATGTGCTGGTACGCCACCCACGACGAGCCGGATGTGCTGGTACGCCACCCACGACGAGCCGGATGTGCTGGTACGCCACCCACGACGAGCCGGATGTGCTGGTACGCCACCCACGACGAGCCGGATGTGCTGGTACGCCACCCACGACGAGCCGGATGTGCTGGTACGCCACCCACGACGAGCCGGATGTGCTGGTACGCCACCCACGACGAGCCGGATGTGCTGGTACGCCACCCACGACGAGCCGGATGTGCTGGTACGCCACCCACGACGAGCCGGATGTGCTGGTACGCCACCCACGACGAGCCGGATGTGCTGGTACGCCACCCACGACGAGCCGGATGTGCTGGTACGCCACCCACGACGAGCCGGATGTGCTGGTACGCCACCCACGACGAGCCGGATGTGCTGGTACGCCACCCACGACGAGCCGGATGTGCTGGTACGCCACCCACGACGAGCCGGATGTGCTGGTACGCCACCCCACGACGAGCCGGATGTGCTGGTACGCCACCCACGACGAGCCGGATGTGCTGGTACGCCACCCACGACGAGCCGGATGTGCTGGTACGCCACCCACGACGAGCCGGATGTGCTGGTACGCCACCCACGACGAGCCGGATGTGCTGGTACGCCACCCACGGACGAAGCCGGATGTGCTGGTACGCCACCCACGACGAGCCGATGGCTGGTACGCACCCACGACGAGCCGGATGTGCTGGTACGCACCCACGACGAGCCGGATGTGCTGGTACGCCACCCACGACGAGCCGGATGTGCTGGTACGCACCCACGACGAGCCGGATGTGCTGGTACGCCACCCACGACGAGCCGGATGTGCTGGTACGCCACCCACGACGAGCCGGATGTGCTGGTACGCCACCCACGACGAGCCGGATGTGCTGGTACGCCACCCACGACCGATGCTGGTACCCACCCACGACAGCCGGATGTGCTGGTACGCCACCCCACGACGAGCCGGATGTGCTGGTACGCCCACCCACGAACGAGCCGGATGTGCTGGTACGCCACCCACGACGAGCCGGATGTGCTGGTACGCCACCCACGACGAGCCGGATGTGCTGGTACGCCACCCACGACGAGCCGGATGTGCTGGTACCCACCCACACAGCCGGATGTGGTACGCCACCACGACGGCCGGATGTGCTGGTACGCACAACCGCACTGGTACGAGCCGGAATGTGCTGGTACGCCACCCACGACGAGCCGGATGTGCTGGTACGCCACCCACGACGAGCCGGATGTGCTGGTACGCCACCCACGACGAGCCGGATGTGCCTGGTACGCCACCCACGACGAGCCGGATGTGCTGGTACGCCACCCACGACGAGCCGGATGTGCTGGTACGCCACCCACGACGAGCCGGATGTGCTGGTACGCCACCCACGACGAGCCGGATGTGCTGGTACGCCACCCACGACGAGCCGGATGTGCTGGTACGCCACCCACGACGAGCCGGATGTGCTGGTACGCCACCACGACGAGCCGGATGTGCTGGTACGCCACCCACGACGAGCCGGATGTGCTGGTACGCCACCCACGACGAGCCGGATGTGCTGGTACGCCACCCACGACGAGCCGGATGTGCTGGTACGCCACCCACGACGACCGGATGTGCTGGTACGCCACCCACGACGAGCCGGATGTGCTGGTACGCCACCCACGACGAGCCGGATGTGCTGGTACGCCACCCACGACGAGCCGGATGTGCTGGTACGCCACCCACGACGAGCCGGATGTGCTGGTACGCCACCCACGACGAGCCGGATGTGCTGGTACGCCACCCACGACGAGCCGGATGTGCCTGGTACGCCACCCACGACGAGCCGGATGTGCTGGTACGCCACCCACGACGAGCCGGATGTGCTGGTACGCCACCCACGACGAGCCGGATGTGCTGGTACGCCACCCACGACGAGCCGGATGTGCTGGTACGCCACCCACGACGAGCCGGATGTGCTGGTACGCCACCCACGACGAGCCGGATGTGCTGGTACGCCACCCACGACGAGCCGGATGTGCTGGTACGCCACCCACGACGAGCCGGATGTGCTGGTACGCCACCCACGACGAGCCGGATGTGCTGGTACGCCACCCACGACGAGCCGGATGTGCTGGTACGCCACCCACGACGAGCCGGATGTGCTGGTACGCCACCCACGACGAGCCGGATGTGCTGGTACGCCACCCACGACGAGCCGGATGTGCTGGTACGCCACCCACGACGAGCCGGATGTGCTGGTACGCCACCCACGACGAGCCGGATGTGCTGGTACGCCACCCACGACGAGCCGGATGTGCTGGTACGCCACCCACGACGAGCCGGATGTGCTGGTACGCCACCCACGACGAGCCGGATGTGCTGGTACGCCACCCACGACGAGCCGGATGTGCTGGTACGCCACCCACGACGAGCCGGATGTGCTGGTACGCCACCCACGACGAGCCGGATGTGCTGGTACGCCACCCACGACGAGCCGGATGTGCTGGTACGCCACCCACGACGAGCCGGATGTGCTGGTACGCCACCCACGACGAGCCGGATGTGCTGGTACGCACCCACGACGAGCCGGATGTGCTGGTACGCCACCCACGACGAGCCGGATGTGCTGGTACGCCACCCACGACGAGCCGGATGTGCTGGTACGCCACCCACGACGAAGCCGGATGTGCTGGTACGCCCACCCATCGACGAGAGCCGGATGTGCTGGTACGCCACCCCACGGACGAGCCGGATGTGCTGGTACGCACCACACCGGAGTGGTACCCCACGACGAGCCGGATGTGCTGGTACGCCACCCACGACGAGCCGGATGTGCTGGTACGCCACCCACGACGAGCCGGATGTGCTGGTACGCCACCCACGACGAGCCGGATGTGCTGGTACGCCACCCACGACGAGCCGGATGTGCTGGTACGCCACCCACGACGAGCGGATGTGCTGGTACGCCACCCCGAGAGCGGATGTGCTGGTCGCCACCCACGACGAGCCGGATGTGCTGGTACGCCACCCACGACGAGCCGGATGTGCTGGTACGCCACCCACGACGAGCCGGATGTGCTGGTACGCCACCCACGACGAGCCGGATGTGCTGGTACGCCACCCACGACGAGCCGGATGTGCTGGTACGCCACCCACGACGAGCCGGATGTGCTGGTACGCCACCCACGACGAGCCGGATGTGCTGGTACGCCACCCACGACGAGCCGGATGTGCTGGTACGCCACCCACGACGAGCCGGATGTGCTGTACGCCACCCACGACGAGCCGGATGTGCTGGTACGCCACCCACGACGAGCCGGATGTGCTGGTACGCCACCCACGACGAGCCGGATGTGCTGGTACGCCACCCACGACGAGCCGGATGTGCTGGTACGCCACCCACGACGAGCCGGATGTGCTGGTACGCCACCCACGACGAGCCGGATGTGCTGGTACGCCACCCACGACGAGCCGGATGTGCTGGTACGCCACCCACGACGAGCCGGATGTGCTGGTACGCCACCCACGACGAGCCGGATGTGCTGGTACGCCACCCACGACGAGCCGGATGTGCTGGTACGCCACCCACGACGAGCCGGATGTGCTGGTACGCCACCCACGACGAGCCGGATGTGCTGGTACGCCACCCACGACGAGCCGGATGTGCTGGTACGCCACCCACGACGAGCCGGATGTGCTGGTACGCCCCCCACGACGAGCCGGATGTGCCGGTACGCCACCCACGACGAGCCGGATGTGCTGGTACGCCCCCCACGACGAGCCGGATGTGCTGGTACGCCACCCACGACGAGCCGGATGTGCCGGTACGCCACTGTGCGCTGCTTGGCTTCATGCGTGCGCCTGCACTTGTCAGCTCCTTCAGCCTTGCCCGCAAAGACAAGTCACGAGCGGAACGTGCTGGTATGCGCGTGCATGGTGCATGCATTGATACGCTCGGGTGCATGCTGGTTGGTGTGTGCTGACTTCCCAATGACCATGCGTGCCAGTGATATGTGGATGGCACGTGCTGCATGCATATGAGCTGGGCAAAGCACCGTTACACACCCACGCCCCCATCGCTACTCTACCCCCTTCATCTCTACTCTACCCCTTCATCTCTACTACCCCGCACTCCCTGCCCACTCCCCTCTCCCTTCCCCCCCACAGGCCATCCGTTACCGCGAGCAGCAGCTGCGGGTGGTGATCATATCGGGCCCCTCGCTGCTCGCCGTGCTCTCCGAGTTCACACGCCTCTCAGGCCGCCCCTCCCTGCCGCCCGATTGGGCCTTTGCGCCCTGGAAGGGGCGCGACGTGCACTTCAACTGCTCGCAGGTGCTTCACGCTGTGGCTGGGCGTGTGGGTTAAGCAGCTCTGAAATGTGTTGATGTGAGCGTGTGAGCATGTGCCCGTGATTGCCGGAGTGTCCTTGCAGCGCTGCTCCGCTGCTCCAATGGAGGGCCGTCTGGGGGATGGCATGAGCTGCACTGTTGAGCATGTGCCTTCCCCGCACAGCCAACCAGCCAATGACACCCTGAAATCAGCCAATGACACCCCTGAACTGAGCCTGCACTGCCTTTTCCGCCTGCCTGTGTGTGCCTTGCACCGATGACAGGTGGTGGAAGATGCGGAGAAGCTGCGGCAGCAGGGCATCCCGGGGTCGGTGATGCTGATAGACAGCCCGTGGGAGACGGCGTACAACGACTTCACCATCAACCGCCTGCAGTTTGACGACCCCGAGGACATGTTCCTGCGCCTCCAGGAGCTGGGGTGAGGCCGCCGCACTGCCTGCCGTGCATGGCTGCTCAACACGGCACTGACATCTCTGACTTCCTCAGCAGCACCTCGCTCACCTCTTTCATTCCAGAGCGTTTTGGGTGGCACTGCCCCCCCCTACCATCCTCACTCTCGCCTGCTCCCTTCCTCCCCACCACCTTCCCCCCCACTCCTCTCCCCGCCCCCAGCTTCCACAACATCTTCTGGGCGACGCCCTTCATCAACCGCGCCAACCGCGTAGACATGCAGGGCATCACGGCGGGCCCGGCTGCCATCTTTCAAGAGGCGGACGAGCGCGGCTTCCTAGTGCAGCAGGAGGGGGGAGGCTCTCAGGTGAGGGGAAAGGGGGGGGGGGGTTCGCAGGTGGTGGGGGTGAAGGCTGCTCCCCTCACTGCTTCCGCCTGCGCTTCCTGTGCCATGCACTCTTCTCAGGTTGCTGCGCCCGGTTCCCCCCCCCAACCCCCTTCAGATAGTGAAGTGGTGGAAGGGCGAGGGCGGGCGCGTGGACTTCACAAGCGAGGCGGCGGTGGCGTTCTGGCACGGCGCCATGAACACGACGCGGCAGTGGCCCACTGCGCGTGGGTTTAAGTGCGACGACGGCGAGGGCAACTACTTCCTGCCCGGCGCTGCGTTCCACGATGGCTCACCACTCTCACTCATGAAGACCCGGGTCAGAGCCCCCACCCCCGCATGCACCTGCTCTCTGCTCTCACCCGTGCATGTTGTTACGTCTGTGCAGTGCTGTGTGCTCTCACCCGTGCATGTTGTTACGTCTGTGCAGTGCTGTGTGCTCTCACCCGTGCATCTTGTTACGTCTGTGCAGTGCTGTGTGCTCTCACCCGTGCATCTTGTTACGTCTGTGCAGTGCTGTGTGCTCTCACCCGTGCATGCTGTTGCGTCTGTGCAGTGCTGTGTGCTCTCACCCGTGCATCTTGTTACGTTTGGGCAGTGCTATGTGCTCTCACCCGTGCATGTTGTTACGTCTGTGCAGTGCTGTGTGCTCTCACCCATGCATGCTGTATCACCCTGCACGTGTGCCATCGACATCCCTGGACTATCCATGCGCTACCCGCCTCTGTACCCGTCTGCGCTGCTCGGTACGCGTCCGCTTCCCCTCCTGCGCTGCGCGCCATGGTGCTGTCAGCCATGGTGCTGTCAGCCATGGTGCTGTCAGCCATGGTCCTGCCAGCCATGGTGCTGCCAGCCATGGTGCTGTCAGCCATGGTGCTGCCAGCCATGGTGCTGTCAGCCATGGTGCTGCCAGCCATGGTGCTGTCAGCCATGGTGCTGCAGCCATGGTGCTGCCAGCCATGGTGCTGCAGCCATGGTGCTGCCAGCCATGGTGCTGCCAGCCATGGTGCTGCCAGCCATGGTGCTGCCAGCCACGCCCTTTTTAAGCGCTAGGGATCCTCTCTGTCCGTTCCACTCGCCATGGGTGCATGACCCTATGTCTGCATGTGTGTACCACCCATGCATGCGGCATGGCAGTACGTGGAGAAGTATCTGGGCGCCATGGGGTCGTTCATTGACAAGTACCTGGACGGGGATGGCGTGCTCATGGCCAGGAGCGGCTTCACAGGCACGGGCAAGTGAGTCGCGCTACCACCAACTGTACGTCACTCACGCTCCACCAACTGTACGTCACTCACGCTCCACCAACTGTACGGCACTCACGCTTCGCCTTGCCCTGTCCGCTTCGCCCTCCATCGCTGCCATGCATGTCCTCCAAATTCCTCTTCCCCCCACACCCCCCCCACACCTTCCACCTTTCCGCCGTGCAGGTCGTTTGTGTGGGCGGGCGACCAGCGCGCCAACTGGAATCGCACAGAGGGCTTCCCGTCGGTGATCATGGCGGGGCAGACAGCGGCGCTGTCGGGGTTCTTCCTGTGGGGCAGCGACATCGCGGGGTACTTCGGCCACTCCATCGACAAGGAGCTCTTTGTGCGCTGGGCGCAGTTTGGGTGAGCTGAACAGCTTATGGTCTTCGGCCTGCTTCAAGGGCCAATGCGCAAACACAGGCACCAATGCGCAAACACAGGCACCAATGCGCAAACACAGGCACCAATGCGCAAACACAGGCACCAATGCGCAAACACAGGCACCAATGCGCAAACACAGGCACCAATGCGCAAACACAGGCACCAATGCGCAAACACAGGCACCAATGCGCAAACACAGGCACCAATGCGCAAACACAGGCACCAATGCGCAAGCACAGGCACCAATGCGCAAGCACAGGCACCAATGCGCAAACACAGGCACCAACGCGCTCAAACAATAGTACCAACATCTCTCTTCCCCCACCAGCGCGCTGTCCCCCCAGGTGCACCAGTCTTGGCAGACCAGCAAGTTCTTGTCTCTCCATGCCTCTCACTCCCCCCTCCAGCGGGCTCTCCCCCCTTTAAACAGTTCGTACCCTCCCCCTCCACATGCTTCCCCCGCCCCCAGAGCGCTGTCCCCCCTGATGCACCAGGCGGGCAGGCCACCAAGCCCATGTCTCTCCATGTCTCTCCACTGCCCCCCCCCCCCCCCCCGGCTTCCCCCAGCGCGCTGCCCCCCCTGGTGCATCCTTTTAAACAGTCTGTATCCTCTCCACTACCCCACCCCCCCCCCCCCCCAGTGCGCTGCCCCCCCTCATGCACCAGTTCGAACAGTTTTTGTCCTTCCCCTTTGCCACCCCTCCCCCCCCCCCCCCCCCCCACAGCGCGCTCTCCCCGTTGATGCACCAGGCGGGCAGGCCAACGAGTCCTTGCCTCTCCATGTCCTCCCCCCCACCCCACCCCAGCGTGCTGACCCCCCCTCATGCACCAGTTTGAACAGTTTGTGTCCTTCCCCTTTGCCCCCCCCCCCCCCCCCCCCCGCTTCCCCCAGCGCGCTCTCCCCGCTGATGCACCAGTTCGGGCAGGCCAACAGTGGCCCGTGGGACTACGACGCGCTCACGCTGCGCATCTACCGCCGCTTCGCGCGCCTGCACATGGCGCTCTTCCCGTACCTCAAGGCGGCGGCGCTGCGCAGCGCCACGGCGGGGGAGCCCATTGTGTGCGCCATGGCGCTCTGCTTCCAGGGGGACGCCCAGGCCGCCGCCTCGCAGTGGGAGTGGCAGTACAGGTTCGGCCCGGACCTGCTGGTGGCGCCGGTGTACGAGAGTGGAGTGAGCAAGGCCACGGTGTACCTGCCGCAGGGCAGCGCGTGGGTACACTTCTGGGCCGCCAACGCCGCGCCCCTGGAGGGCGGGCAGGCGGTGGAGGTGGCGGTGCCGCTGCACGAGACTGCGCTGTACGTGCGCGCGGGGCGCTCATCGAGAGCATCGAGGAGGACGTGGACACGCTGCTGCCGCCCTCAGCCACGCTGCACCCCGATGTCAAGACCGTTGGCAGGTGCGCATGGTGCAGTGGGCAGGTGTGTGTTGCCTTTGCAACCTCGCTTACAGTGAAGAAGCCCATTCTCACACAAGCGCACTGGACCATCAACCAACCATATCATCCTCGTTTTGCATTTTCTCGCTCTTGCTGTTGCGCACCATGTCCCACTTCCCCTCACATCCCCAACCCTCCTTCTCCCCCACCCACCCCCCCCCCACCCCCCCCCCCACCCCCCTGCACAGCGTGTGCATCCTGCAGGTGTGGCCGGGCGTGCCGTCCCCCTCGTCGTCCCTGGCGTCGCTGTTGGCGCCCTTCCAAGCGGCGCTCTCCGCCCGCCCCGTGGCGCAGGCGCACCGCCGCCACCGCCTGGTGCTGCAGCTGAGGGCGCAGGAGCGGGTGGAGCTGTCGCTGCGCTTCATGCACGGCGAGCGCCTGGGGCACCCCACCGTGCGGCGCGGCACGCGCGAGCAGGTGGGCGTGGCGTGCGCGGGGGGCAACTACCTGGGCGTGGAGGGGCTGCACTGCGCGCTGGCGCTGGAGGCTGGGGTCACGGAGGTGTCGTGGGAGTATGGCGGGTGACACGCGCCTGCTAGGGAAGGGACTGTGCGTTGGTGAGAAGGCGGCAGTAATGTGCTCAGTAGACCCGTTCAGTGGATCATTACTGAAGCAATGGGGAGCATGATGTGATGATGGAAACCACTGCATCTTGATCCGTTGTAAAGACAGTATGATCAACTCAGCATCGTCTGCCATGGCGTCGACACCTATTGGCCTCAAGCCCATTGGCAGGAGCACTAGCAGTGCATCCCTCCCGACCACGCTGCGAGATTCAAGACGCCTGCTGGAAGCCGCAGAGGCGCATTGCTGGCGCCCAGCGCACACTCATACGGCCTGAACGCACTGCAGCGCACTGGCCCACCTGGGCTGGAGGGGTGGAGCGAAGAGGGGGGAGTGGGGGGTTGTGTCAGGGACTGGAGTGACGAGGGGACCAGACAAGGCTCCTCTGCAGGTGGGTGGGTGGGGAAAGGGTTGCTGAAGATGGCAAGGGGATTGCGTTGCGCATTCGTGGCATCAGCTCGCTGTACGTCGGAGCACCCCTGCCCGTTGTTGCATTCCCGCCCTCCCACCCATTCCGTGCCGCACAGCACCCCTCAGTAACGCGTGCGACTCACATGGGCACTGGGCCACCCAAACAACACCGCCTCGTGCAGTACGTGCATTAGCTGGCTACAAGGCTTGCTTAGTTGGACTGTCCACAACACAATGCCTTGGACGGATTCTCTCATCGTACGTTACAAGAGGTAGTTCTGGGAGATCAAACAGAATCCGTGGTGGTGCCTGCACTGGGCTGCAGCATGAACGACGTCAGCAGGGGGCACCCCTTCCACTCCAGCACAGCCACGCCATGCCTCACCTCCACCCTCAACCCCTCACGGCTTGCCCCCATGGCCGCTGCAGCGCCTTCCACCGCCTCCTCCCCCATGGCCACCACCTCAAAGCCCAGGCGCGTGGCGCGCGCGTGCCAGGCGTGCGCTGGCTCGGGGCGCGTGAGGCGGTTGATGCCCTCGCATGCCACGATGTTGGCGATATCTGCCCCAAGCACGCGCGCCTCCACTGCGCTGCGCTGTGCGTCAGACAGCGGGCAGCAGGGCGCGGCCAGGCAGTCAAACCACGCGGAGTAGTGGTCCAGCGCGGCTTGAAAGCGCGTGAGGAAGAAGGGCGAGTTGAGGCCCGCCTCCTGCTCCGTCACCACCACGAGCAGCGGCGCAGGGCGTGGATGGCCTGCATGCATGGAGGCACATGCAGCACAGGCACACACGCCAGCCAGGGAGCGCAAGGCGGGTACAGCAGTTGCCCCCCACCAAGACATGGGCGTAAGTATGCACACGCAAGGGAGAAATCGAAAAACGTGAACCCGGTCCCCTCCACCTCTGCCCAATCATTCCTGAGCCCCTGTGAGCATGCGGCGGCGCACCTGCAGCAGCGAGTCCCGCGGGTTGGCTCGGATGACGGATGCGTCGCACAGCTGCTGCAGCAGCAGCGCCGCACGCACCAGCACCACCTCGCCCTCACGCACGCCCAGCGCCGCCCTTGTCACCCCCTGCACGCCCACGCGCACCACGCGCACCGCCACGCGCAGCCCCAGGGCGCGCGCTGCTGCTTGCACTTGCTTTACCAGCTCAGGCGGCGGAGGGAGCGGAAAGCGCTGGACGCAGGGGGCGGAGGGGGAGGGTGAGGGCGCAGGCACGGTGGGGGCAGAGGCATGCAGGGCACCCGAGGGTGAGCCCAGTGGCGGCTCACACTGTGTGCTTGCTGCACGCGGGTGGGGCAGCGGTGGGGGGCAGGGCGAATGGGGTGTGCGGCATGCAGCAGCATGCTCTGGTGCACGCAGAGGGGAGGACAGTGCTGGTGCAGCGGCAGCGGCAGCGGAAGCGGCAGTGGCAGTGGTAGTGCAAGGCAGAGGTGGTGATGAGCCGTGTGGTGGAAGGGACGGCGGTGAGGGTGGTGTGTCTCCGTGCTGCCCCTCTGCACTGCTGCAGTCGTCCCACGTGCCCCCTTCACTGCCTGATGCCGCCATGCCATGCCCATTGCTGCCCGCCACCCCTGTGCTCCCACTCATCCCCGCACCGCCGTCTCCTGCAGCCTCGCCCGCACCAGCCGCAGCAGCAACCGGATCACCAAGTGCTGCGCGTGCTGCCCCCAGACCATCCCCAGCCCCACCAGGCATGGCAGCACGAGCAGCATCCAGAGCAGCAGAGCCAGCAGCAGCGAGGGTGGGGCGAAAGTCGTGAGTGGGATCAACAGCAGGCCGCAGGCGAGCAGGCGACCCCACGGTGCACACCCGCTCAGCACCGCCCTTGGCAGATGCGTCCGGTGTAGTGGGTGGCGCGGAGGAGGCAGGTGCAGGCGGGTCAGCGGTGGTGTTGCCGCCTTGCAAAGGCAGCAAGGGGGGCGCGCAGGGCGCGGAGGGGTGGGCGTGGAGCAGGTGCACGAGGGTGAGGCGCAGGCACACGTGGCGCTGCAGCGGCCAGGCCGCCAGGGCGGAGAGCAGCGCGTGGCAGTGCGGCACGTGGTGGTCGCCCAGCTCCACCACATGCACCACCAGGGGGGGGGGTGACGCAGGGGGGGGCGCTGGGCGGACGCCAGTGTGCTTCACTCGTGAATCAGATTTAGGATCCGCTGCCTTCTCCTTGCCACATGAGGTGCTCTCTTCCCCCCCGCGCCCCCTCACACTGCCATCGTCCCTAAGACTGCTCCCCTCCCTCTCTGCGCCCTCCCCTACCTCACTCTCTCCTACACTCCTCGCCCTCCCCTCGTCGTTGTCCTCTGTGGTGCTCCCCTGCCACTCCTGCTCCCCCTGCAACACCACTCGCCCCACCGTGCCGTCTCTCTCCATGCTGCACTGCCCTCCCCTCCTTGCCACTCCCACCACCACATTGTCACCAGCAGCAGCGTCAGCAGCACAAGCTTCAGCAGCATGGTCCCCAGCAGCAGCTTGTGTGTTGGAGTGGTGGCGTGAGAGGGCGGGCAGGAGCGCATGGTGCAGGGCGTGGGTGGCAGCACAGCAGAGGAAGTCGCGCAGGGCCGGCGCGCCCAGCACACACGGCAGGGCACCGCTGAGCTCCTGCACAGCGCAGCGCGCATGCACATGCACATGCGCATGCACATGCACATGCACATGCACGCAGGGGAAAGAGCGATGGCAGGGCAGGCAGAGGGAGCAGGCGTCCGGAGAGGGCAGATGAGTGCCACGGTGAAAGGAACGCGAGCACGAGTGGTGGCGAGACGATCACAAGAGTGAGCGGTGCGGTGGATTGGCGCAGGGGCATGGCGGGTGGTGGCGACCACGCACAGCAGGCAGCCCCGGGGATGCCATGCTGCATAGACAGGTACAAAAAGCGCGTGCGAGCAATGAGGCTGAGAGACAGCCGTGCTGGCGCCCAAGCCAAGACGCCTGTGGCAGAGTAAGACACGACACCCAGAACGTGCACGCACCCACCCGCTGCACGCCCATGAGCATGCTACCTGCTCCATCGTCGCCCCCTGCAGCACGTGGCCTGTGCCCGTGGCCCGCGCGGAGAGTGCGCGCACGAAGTGGAAGGCGGCGCGCTGCATGGGCGAGCCCAGGGGGTCCGCCTCCTGCCCCACGTGCTGCAGCAGGAAGCGCGCCCGCAGCTGGGGGGGGGGGGGCGGGAGAGAGGGGGGAAGAGTGGAGCAGAAAGGGGAGAGGAGAAGCAAGGGAGGAGTGGAGGGTGGGGAGGGACTTGGAGAACGAAGGTCACGACCGATGTGAGCGCACATGGTGACATGCAACACATGTGGTGACCTGTGGCAGACATGCTGACACGTGGCAGACATGACGACACGTGGCAGACAAGATGACACGTGGCATACATGATGACATGTGCCAGTCATGATGACATGTGGCAGACATGATGACATGTGGCAGATATGGTGACACGTGGCGGAAATGTTGGCTTGGCTGTCTCACATCATCATGAGTGGCGATGGCTTCAGCCAGCGAGAGCAGCTGCTTCTTCAGCAGCCGCACCAGAATGCTCTCCACACCCGCCTCCGCCGCCTCCTCCTCCGCCGCCTCCCCCTCCGCTCCCTCCGCCCCTCGCCCCACCGCATGCCGCTCACTCAACTGCCCCTGCCCTGCCATGTCCACCTCTCTTGCCGCGTGGCCTGGCATGCTACCGCACCCACCAGTGCGGCCAGCAGCATCACCACCGTCGGTGGCTGCCCCCGTATGGTCAGTAGCAGCAGCAGCATCCGCCGCTCTCCCCTCGTGCATGGGCGCACGGCCACCACCCTCCGCCCACGGCATCGCCCGCCCTGCACCGCACCTCGCACCCATCCCTGCTCCCTCCACACCACAGCCCCTCTTCCCCCCTCGCCCCTCATTCACCATGCCATCTCCCCCCTCTCCCCCATCTCCCCCATCTCCCCCATCTCCCCCCTCTTCCCCCCTCGCCTTGCGCTTCCCAACGCCCCTCTCTCCACTTCCCCTCCACCCGAACCCCTCCCTGTCTCTCGCCCCAGCATCCGCATCCCCTACCCCTCGCCCACTGCTTTCCCCTGCTAACCCCTGTCCGCCAGCTTCCCCCCCATCACCGCTGCCCAATGCCCCCAATGCCCCCAGTGTCCCCGGTGGCCCCACTGCCCGCGGTGGCCCCACTGCCCGCGGTGGCCCCACTGCCCCCGGTATTCCCAGCGCCCCCAGCTGATCTTTCCCGCCGCTGTGGGGAGGTTGCGAGAGGTAGCGCGTGGCGAAGCCCCCCGCGCTGCCCACCTTCACCAGCGCGCCCCTGACCATGACTTGAGGCGCCACCCGCCCCTCGCCCTGCGCCACCTGCTGCATCCACACGCCCTCGCGTCCCCAGGCGGCAGGCGGTGCACTCGACTCACCCATCCACCGCCTCGCAGCACCGGCATTGGCAGCAGCAGCAGCGTGAGGCGCACGTGCACTAAGGGCTTTTTCTAGAACGGCCATCGTTCCTGCGGGCAAGGCTGGCCCAGCCAACGCCGCAGCAGCGGCAGCTGCTGCGGCTGCGTGTGGCGGGTGCGGTGCCATTGACGACGGCCGCGCGTCGCCTGTGGTCGCAAGCGCCCTCGTCTCATCCCTCACTGCCTTGCCACCACCGCCGCTGCTGCTGCTGCGCCTTGCCACACCGCTCGTGTGCGGCGGCGCTGGGTGCATGGCGCGCAGGGGCTGGTGCGGCACCATCCGCCTTGCCACGCCGTCCAACGCCGCCCCCTCCTCCACACGCCTCGAAGCTGGAGGTGACGAGGGCGACGAGGGCAGTGCAGCGACGGGATGCGACGAGGCGCCGCTGAGGGCCGGCGCTTAGAGGCGTCAGCCTGAGGAGGCGTGAGCGCAAGGGAGGGGTTTGGCACGAGATGATGCGCGTGGAGTGGAGCCAGCTGGGCGCGCTGTAGTAGCCGGAGGTACTGCGACGCAACCCTAACGCGAGCCGAGGGCGAACGAGAGGGAGCGGGGGCAATGCTTGAAGTCACGGCAGGGCGTGAACCCCGCGGGTGCAGCACGGCGTCTGAACGTGGAGCAGAGGAGCAGAGCGCGCACGTGGATGGCGAGCAACTGGTGGGATAGTCGCGTGGCATGCATGGCTTGCCTTGCATTCAGCTTTGCGCGGCCTTCCAGGTGTGGTCCAACACTCGGCTGGAAAATTCCAAAGTGGGGGCCATGGAACAGAAGAAATTTTCGCGAATGTCGATTTCCAAGGTTACGCTTGTCGTCAAAGTCGCAAATTAGCTCTCTGCCTAGAAGATCTTCGCGAAACTGGGCTCGCTTCCACGTTTTCCTGTGTCGGGCTCGCATGTCCGACGCTTTGAACGCGCTCCAACGCTTGGGCTCTCGGGGTTGGGGTTGGGGTGCGGCGGAGGGAACTCCGTGTCTGCTTTGTTGCGCCACGCAAGTGCGCGCCGCAACTAGTAGCACACGCGCATCGTGTGTCGCCTCCAGCGTCCTCGCATGTCAGCGCGGGCGAGGCGACAGCAGCACCGCTGCACACGGCGATGGGCTTTCGAGTGCTTTGTTGCATTGCGCGCGGCGCGCCGCATGGCGGCGTTCGAGGTGCGCTTTCGAGTGCCAGCGGCTCTCCTTCCGCGCGGGCCGGACGACCCGCCGCACCACGCTGCCACGCCGCGCATCGCTGGCGGCGGGGGTGAGGGCTGCAGCAGCAGCAGGCCCAGCGACAGCCGGTGTGAGGGGCAGCCGTGCGCGGCGTCCCACGTGGACGTGCGCGTGGGCGTGGCCCCAGAGGAGCCCGTGGCGTGCGTGTTGGAGAGGCTGCTCCGCCGCCACCTGCCGCACTACCGCCTGCACGGAGAGGCGCCGCAGCAGCAGCGAGCGGGCGATGGGGGGGCGGCGGAGGGAGAGGGCTTGGCGGATGGGAGGCAGCAGGTGCGGTTCATGGTGGCGGGGCGGGTCACCGCACTGCACCGTGGCGCGGGCGAAGCTTACAGCGGGTACAATCGTGAACGTGCTCCCTGTGAGGGCAGTGCAGGGAGGAGTGGAGAAGCACCAGGCGGCAGCTGAACACGGGGGCCAACGCACCTGCTGCTGCACCCCCTGCAGCCGTGTCTCCCGCTGCTGCACCGCGTGCTCCTTGTGCCCGTGCCACCCCTATTGCCGTGCGTCCTGCTGCTGCTGCTCGTGCAGTTGACTGCAGCAGGTGGGGCCATGCTGGTTCCAGCAGCGACCAGGGAGGGGAGGAGCAGCAGCAGCAGGAAGAGGAAGAGGTGGAGAAGGAGGAGGAGGAGGGGGAGCAGGCGAAAGGCGTTGCAGGAGGGAGTGGTGGAGCGCGAGAGGGGGCCCAGGCGTCTGCTGCTGGCAGTGGCAACGCGCTTCCCTTTGCTGCACAGCCCAGTGCCAGCGCCATGGACTGCGCCTTTCTCAGTGCGGGGCGGCACGGGCGGCGGGCGGCGTGGACGCTAGTCGCCAATCTAGCGACATGGGCAGCATGGGTGGCATGCGCAGCATGGGCATGGGCGGCATGGGCGGCATGGGCGGCATGGGCAGCATGGGCGGAGTGGGCGGCGTGGGCGGCATGGGCGGCATGGGCGGCATGCGCAGCATGGGCATGGGCGGCATGGGCGGCATGGGCGGCATGGGCAGCATGGGCGGAGTGGGCGGCGTGGGCGGCATGGGCGGCATGGGCAGCATGGGCGGCGTGGGCGGCATTTGCCTGTGCTGAGATCATCAGCTGGAGCACAGGCGGGCGTGCAGGAGGTATCGAGGCGGGCGTGCGGGCAGCAGGGGGGAGTGAGGGCAGCGCAGAGAGCGTTGAGGCGATGCTGAGCCAGTGGGGGGTCAACGAGGGGCTGGCAGGGGCACAAGAGGCAGAGGGGCGGGCAAGGGAGGGAGAGGGCAGACGGGCGGTGAGGGGCGTGCGCTGCTGTGTCGGGCGGACATGGTGCACTACGTGGACGTGAGCCAAGCCTGCGAGTTCGCCCTCTGCCCCTGCTGCTTCCACTGTGCCCTCTCCCCGCACGCCCAGGCTGCCCTTGCCCTGCCCTCGCTGCCGGCCTTCCGCGCCCACCTGCACGCGGAGCAGCCGCGCTGCCTCCCCGCCGCGCCGCCCAACGGCGTATCCCAGGCCGTGCTGGAGTGGTCGGAGCAGATGCCCGTGCCGCCACAGGGAGGGTGGGGGGAGGCGGCGGCTGCGGTGCAGTGGGCGTGGAAGAGTGAGCGTGCGCCGCACGTGTGTGCGGAGGCCATGGTGGTGGAGTCGCTGGCAGAGCCCCCCGTGGGTGCGCTCACGGACCTGCCCGCCATTCGAGCCCGCCTGCCTGCTGTCCTCGCCGCCACCCATGCCCCCGCTGCTGCTGCTGCCTCTGGCGCCCCGTGGTTCTGCTGCTGGCGCTGCAGTGGGTGCTGGGCGGCGTACTGCCGTGCTCTCAACTTTGCGGCGTGCCTGGTGCTGGCGGGCGACAGCCCGCGCGTGGTGACGCTGTGGCGCACGCACCTCGACATGGCCAAGGGCTCGCACGGCGTTGCGTACCCCGCCCTGCTGGCGGCGCTGCGGGTGCGCAGGCAGGCGCAGTGGGAGTGCCTGGTGTCCGTGGCGGTGCAGGTGCTGGGGGTGAAGGGGCGCGCCGAGCTGCAGGAGGGCTTTGCGTTCTTCATGCAGGAGCTGCTGTCGGGCGGGCTGGACAAGGCGCACGCACAGGGGGAGGGGGGAGTGAAGGGGGCGGGGCGGGTGGTGGGGGCATGGGCGATGGGCGCATGGAGGGTGAAGAGGTGAGCAGGATGCTGGGCAGTGAGGGGGGAGGGCCATGGAGAGCGTGATGAGGAATTTGAAAGGAGGCACGAAGAGGTGGGGAGGCGCAGGGGGCGGCTGATGGGGTGGTGGAGTGGTGCAGGGGGGGAGACAGGGGACGGCAGGGCAGGGGCGGGAAGGGTGCGGCGGTGGTGGCGGCGATGGGGTGGATGGGGCGTGGAGGGGCATCTGAAGGCGCGTGTGTGGGAGAGGTGCGTGCATGGCGTGGCTTGGATACTGGAGCATGGGGGGGGGAAGGGAGGGAGTTCAGGTGCACCCATTGCAGTGACGGCAGCAGCAGCGGTGGGAGTGGTGGCAGCAGCAGCAGTGCGGGGGTGGAGGGCAGTCCCAGGGGCATGCATGTGAGTGGCGTGGGCGCCACGGACTTGGCCCTCGCGGCGGCCACGGTGCTGTCGCAGCCGCAGCACTGCCGGGAGGTGCACACGCTCTTCACGGACGGCAACAGCGCCCAAAAGACAGCCGTGGAGGCTGCAGCGCTGGAGGCGGCCAGGGGGAGGCTTGCCCGGGCGATGGGTGGAGCAGCAGGTGGGGGGGTGGGGGCAGCAGCGCCAGGTACAGCCCCAGCCAAGCCCAGTGCGGGCACTGCTGCCGCTGCATCTGCTGCGGCGTGCCAGCGTGCACGGGAGCCGGTGAACACGCACCTCGTGGTGGCTGCCATCACGTACCGCGCTGCTGCCCTCCTCCAGTGGCTCCGAATCTACGGCTCAGATTCCTTCTCGAGAAAGCACTGCTTCGATTGCAACCCGCAGGCATGGTCCGGCCCATGCGCCATCCGCTTCGGGACCTTCCGAGCCTGCTGGTCAGGCTCGGCGTCATCCTGCAGCCGCTGGAGGGAGGAAGCTTTTCCTGGGAGTGGAAGGAGTGGCCGGAGGGCAATGAAGCTGCTATGAAGCTTCCTGATGACCCGAGCACGCGGTGCTTCCTTATGGGGGTGGTGGAGGCGAGGAGAGCTGCTGGCAGGCCCAGCAGGGGGCGAGGCGGCAGGACCAGATGCCGGGGAGGGGTGAGCAGCGCTCTGCCAGAGCGTGTGGCGGCGGGCCACAGAGGGCTGCCCATGGTGCAGTGCACGGCGGACGTGGACTTCCTCCAGCACGCGCTCAGCCACACGGTGGCACCGCTCGCGTGCGCGCACTGCAAGGCGTGCTTCGCCGCCTTCACCGCCGCCGTGCCCCTCATCGCCCTCGTCGCCGCCTTGGCCTTCCGCCCCGCACATGCGCTCGTGCAGCGCGTGGCGGCCGTGATTGCGCCGCACTCCTCCGCCTTCAACGACCTGGCGCAGATGTTCTTCCTCCTGTGCCTCCCCCCCACATGCCTGGCGCCATGGCTCTGGCGCTCCTGGAGGAGCAGGCAGACGAGGTGCCGCTGTCGCTGCTACTGAGCGTGGCCATGGTGTGGCCCAAGGCCGTGTTTTGAGGCGCCTCAAAGCTGAGCGTGGCCATGGCGTGGCCCAACACCGTGCTGCGCATCCCCGAGCTGCATGCCGTGCGCAAGGACGAGGGCGTGGCGGGCCAGCGGGCTGCAGAGAAGGCGCGTGAGAATGAGAGGAGGGAAGGGGGGGCGGGTGGGGAGGGGGACGATGGGGAGGTGTGGGAGGAGATACGGGCGTGGTGCGTGGCGGTGATGGTGGCGTGGCCGGGCGTGATGACGGGATTGAGTGACACGTGTCAGGGGCGGGGGCAGAAGGCGGAGGGCAAGCAGTGGAGCTCGGACCTGAGCATCAAGGCCGCCATGCCGCGCTTCTGCGAGGACGTGGCAGCGCAGCGAGGGGCAGCTGGTGCGGCATGAGCAGCAACGGCAGCTGGTGGGGCGGCGGCAGGTGGAGCACGGACAGTGAGAGCAAGGGCAAGGGGGAGGAGGTGCCGGACCATCTCATGCCGTGGCCGGGGGGAGTCAACCTGCTCGCGTGCCTCAGAGAGATGCTGCTGGGGCAACCCTGCTACCGCCCTCCCACACATGCTGCCCCCACCCCTGCTGCACGTGCTGCACGCACTGCAGGTGCGCAGCGCTGTGGTCCCTCGCCCGGTGGCAGCCGAGTGTGTGGCTCTCCGCGGTGTGGGCGGGCAGAGGGGGGTGCAGTGAGGCTCAGGAGCTGCGCGGGGTGCAGCAGGGTGGCGTATTGCAGGCGAGAGTGCCAGAAGGCGCACTGGCCCTCACACAAGCTCACGTGCCCAGGGAGGGCCTCTGGCAAGGCACCAGGCAAGGGCAAAGGCAATGGGAAATGAATGTGGGAGTGTTTATTAGAGCTTTTGCAGGATGCCTTAGGGCGTATTCCTACTGTCCAAGATCAAGATCAGCATTCCTGATCCTGGTTCCTGATCCTGCCGTTTTGTAGCCAGTAGATCAGCAAACGAGGTGCTTGTCGCAAAGTGCTGCCACATGTGCAGAACACGCGACGCAATGCGACGTGCAGTTGGTGTTGAATCGAACTTGCAAAATGCAACATGATTGGTCGCTGTTGGGCTGAGAAAGGCCCTTAGGATCTTTCCAGAGACTAAGTCCCAGTTGAAGAATGAGACTTGAATAGTGCAGCGGAAGTTGAGTAGTTGAACCCTTGTACTAGTATATGAGAACAAGTGATTGATTAAAGTGAACAAGCATACAGCAATATATAGAAAGTAGAAAAACAAGCAGTTGTAGAATACAGTTGAATGGCGGTTTATCGAGTCGCACAGCGACTCGATTGTCGCTTCGGTTACCATTCTTGCAGTTGTAACGGTCAGTCGCAACCTCCGGTTGCGACCCTTCGAGTCCTTTCGTGTTTTTTGTCCATCCCCTCGTGTAACCTCCGTTGACTCGCGTACTCGTTACGATCTTCCTCGAGTGTGATGTTACACTTCAAAAACGCTGAAGTCCTTGAGATATTTCCAACACTCCCCTTCGTTTCTGGAATGCTGACGTGTTCAGATCCGGTGACGTTTGTCTGCCCGGTCAACAGCATGCAGTAATCGAACTTCGCCTTCGCCAGTTTCTTCGTCAGGTAGTTTGCGGCCATTTCTGTTGTAGGGCAGTAACTGAGTTGAAGTCTCCCCTTCGCGATTTCATCTTTGACGAAAAAGTACCGCAGGGCAATGTGTTTGGTTCGGTTGGCGAAGCCGTCCTTGTTCGCGATTTTGATCGCAGATTGGTTGTCGCAGAGGAGTGAGAGGACGGGCAGGGTCGCGATCTTCGCTTCCTCGAGCAACTCTCGTAGGTAGAGTCCTTCCTTGGTCGCAGTACAGAGGGCGATATATTCTGCTTCAACCGAAGATAGTGCGATTAGTTCCTGCTTGCTCGACTGCCAGGAGATAGTCCCGATAGGTTCTAGTCAGTAGATGTAGCCCGTTCTCGATCGTCGATTTTCCCTGTCTCCTGCATGATCGGCGTCGACGTATCCGAATAGTTGTACGGATGGTGTTGTTACTTTGCTGTAGGTGAGTCCGGTCGTCGGCGTAGAGACGAAGTAGAGTAGTGCCCGGTTTAGTTCTTCGAGATCTTCTTGTTCCGGTTGCTTCAGATGCGTCGCCAGCTGGCTTGCGCTGTAGGATAGGTCAGGTCGGCAGGTTACTGCTGCGAACAGTAGGCAGCTGAGCTTCTGCAGATACTCCTGGATTTGCTTCACGGGGAGTTTTGCGGAGGTGTCGTTGTTGTTTCCGTAGCGGTAGGGAGTCGCGACTGTAGTTGGTGTTAGTCCGAACTTCTTTGCGACAACGCCTGCGTACTTTCCAGCGTATAGGTAGAACGCTGAGTTGTCTTCGACGATGTTTAGACCCAGGTACTAGGTTACGGTGTCTGACACCGTGAGTGTCAGGTCCCTTTTCAGCTCCCCTTCGAACCAGGTGGCGATGTAAGTAGTGGAGCCGATGTAGAGCAGATCGTCGACGTAGACGATGACTAGAATGAATTCTCTTTCCTTCTGTAGTCGGTACATGCCTTGGTCATGTGGCAGTTGTAGGAATCCGATTCTGACGAGGCGACCGTGAAGGTGCTGCTGCCAAAGCCGCGGGGCTTGCTTGATCCCGTAAAGGGATTTTATCAGCTGGCACACTTTTGTAGGGTCGTCGATGAATCCGTGGGGCTGCTCGACGAAGATCTCGGCGTCCACAGGTGCGTACAGGAAAGCATTTGCGACGTCGATTTGGCGCAGTGGTAGTTTCTTCGTGGCCGCTACGGCGAGTAGGATGCGCAAGGAGGTGTGACGGGAGACTGGGGCAAAAGTTTCTGTGTAGTCGGTTCCGTGTCGTTGATCGAAGCCTCGTACGACCCATCGAGCTTTGAATCGTTCGATGGAGCCGTCCGCGTTGGTCTTGATGCGGTACACCCACTTTCCCGAGAGGACGTTCTTCCCGTTGATGTTCGTTGCAGGTACCAACTTCCATGTATTTCGTTCTTGCAGAGCTTTTAGTTCCTTTTCCATCGCCTCCTTCCATTTCGCCTTATGTTCCCCCCCCAGAGCCTGCGACAGAGTCGTTGGCTCGCGCGGAGATGGCGGCGGCGGATGCTGGACGGAGACCCATAGGCCGAGGATCTGCAGTCCCGTGGGTGTGTGTCGAGGGGAATTTTCATTCCCGGAATAAGCTGCTTCGTCACCATCTTCTGGATCAGGTAAGAAGTTTGGGCCGATGCGTTCTGAAACATTCGTGTCGACCGGGTGAGGTGTAACGTAACCTTGGTCAGCAAAGTGGTAAAAGGTGTCGAGGTTGTTGCTATCGAGAGGATTGTCTTCGTCGAATAAACAGGTACGGAACAGAAGGGGAGTGGTCCGGCAGCTTCCGAGGCTCTAGGTACGTCTTCTTCTGCTGCGTCAGCCTCGGCAGCACGGTCGGCGAAGGAACGAAGGCCCGCGAGGCCGTTGGTGGGGTCGTGTGTGTTGGCAATGTTGTCCAGGTAATGCTGCAGCGTCAGTCGCTCGTAGAAGATAACATCACGTGATGCCACGGTAGTTTTGTCTTGTATGTCGAGGATTTTCCATGCGTGAAAATGTTTGGCGATGCCGAGGTGTAGTCCCCACCGAGCTCGTTGAGTGAAGCGTCCTGCTCGGGCTGTGTGGGGTCTGTACTGTACCATGCAGCCGAAAACTCGAAGTAATTTTGTGCTGCCCCTTTTTCGTGTCCACAGCAGGTGCGGTGATGCGTTGTTGGGAAGCGATGACGAGGACAACAGATTGTGCAGGTGGACTGCATGTGTCATCGCGTCTGGCCACAGTGTGGTGGGCACTCTCATTCCAGGAGTAGCTTTCGCATCGTCGTCTGCAAGGTCCGGTTCATGCGTTCTACGATCCCCTGCTGCTGGTGAGCGTAGGGCAGAGACACCAGGCGTCTGATTCCTCTTTCCGCCAGATAGGTCCTGAAGCGTTGTAACTGGTATTCCAGTGCACCGTCTGACTGGAAGCTCTTGAGCTTGGTTCCTGATTCTCGTTCGGCGATGGGGAGCCATGTTGTGAAGGCGTCGAAGGCTTGATCGCGCGTCTTGAGGTTGTAGTGCCAGACGTATCTTGTTGCTGCGTCGATAAACGTGATGACGTAGTTGAAGTCGGCTTCAGTGTCTTATCGAGGCATGTTTAAAATGTCACTGTAGACTTTTTCCATCGGTGCGTATGCAGGTGCGCTTGGGTTGTGATGGGATGGAAAAGGCTGGTGGGGAAGATCGGCTTCGGGGCACGTAAAGCACCGTGCGCGTGGTCGTCGAAGTTCTTGGCCGCTCGTTGTAAGGAGAGCGTTTCGTTCTAACACTTCGGCTTGGATGGTTTGCAGTATTGTACTGTTTGCAGGATGTCCGAGACGTTGGTGCCAAATGTCGTCGGGAGCGCGATGGCCGGGCGAGCGGTGGTATATGTCGGTGTTGGAGAAGAACGCGACGACCGTGGCGGGACTGCGGCAGACTTCTCGTGTGATGGGCATAAGTTGATCTGCTTCGGTTGGCGATCCTCGGATCGCTGGTGGTGGTACTCGGCTGGAGCTTTCTGCTGCTACTGCCGGTGATGGTTGGGAAGGAACACTTGCTGGTACTTGTCTTTCTTGTCTGATGACTGCTAACGCTCGTGTTCTTTCTGCTGCAGGTATGGTGTTGGAGTACCAGAATCCATCGGGGTTGAAGTCGGGGTCAAGATCCGGCGGGTGTGTCCAAGCGGCAAACGACACGATCCCATCACTGTCAGCAGTACCTCGGTCGGGGACGAAGTCCAACACGAAGACGCCGGACTTCAGGAGAGCACGACCGATGAAGAGGCCGCCCTTCCCGTGGTATAGGCGAAACTCTTTGGAGTCCGAGTCGCACTCCAGGTGAATTCCTTTTGCCATTAGCTGGCTGACGCTAAGCAGATTGTATCCCAAGTTGTCAACGATTAAGACCTTGTTGAGTTGAAGGATGACATTAGTTCCATGGACTGTAACTGAACCACCCCTTGTCTGCTTGTTTTCAGGTTCTCGTTGTTGGCGACGGTGATGATGACGTCGCGTTGAGGCGTCGCTCTCGTTGCACGAAGCGTCCGGAAGAACACATGTGTTGACCGCAGCAGCTGTCTAAGAACCAGGTGTTTCGCCCGGTGGGTTCGGCGTTGGCGACCGCAGCGTATGTCGGGTTGACCTGAAGTCCTTGTGAGCGCGGCGGCGGGAATTCTTCTTCGTCTGGCGCGTAAGTGGGTGGTGATTCGGGTGCGCAGTTGTCGATGTGTACCATGCAGTTGATGATGTTCGGTGTCCCTTGTGCAGATGTGGTAGAACGTCTTGGAGGGATTTCTTGAGTGGAGGCGACTTGTGGGTCTACTGGACGATAGACACGAGGACGTGTGCAGTTGACTTTGGAATGTCCGGATGTTTGACAGTTGTGGCAGAACGGCGGCACGATGGTGAGTCCTCTGTTGTCACGTTGATCTTGCTTGCCGCGTCGATTGTAGTTTTTGTCGTTCCTTCGTTGAGTGTAGAAAACTAACTGCTGCTGCTTTCTTGGTTGTCTTTCTTCGAACAGGTCCATCTCCTGTTGTTCAGCATGAAGCTCGGCGCAGAGGTGCATCTCCGAGATCCTTCCGTGGGCGCGAAGAAGCGAGCGTGTGGTTCTCCATTCTGGCCCGAGCCCGGCGAGGACAAGCGTCACGAAGCTTTCTTCAGTGATTGTTCCTCCGCACCGAAGCAGGCGGTCGCGGAGTGTTTGGCATCGACTCATATACTGCATCGCCTTTTCCCCGGTCTTCATCTGTATTGTTGTCAGCTGTTGCATGAGTCTGCTTTGTGTCACGCTGTCGTTTGCTTGATAGAGACACTTGAGATGATGCCATGCGAGTTCCGCGGAGTTTCCATAGCTCCGATACGTTCTGATGCTCTGCTGTTCTTGTGGTGACAGGTTCCGCAGGAGAACTGTATACGCCAGCAGCGACTGATACGTGAAAATTTCTTGCTCCTTTCCAGTGCTGTTGCTTGGGAATGGCAGGGACCCGTTGAAGTATCCCAAGAGATGCGCAGCCTCCATCAGCAGCTCGAACTCAAAGCTCCAGGTAAAGAAGTCGTGTCCGTTGAACGGTGAGGATGTCTGTAACTTGATTACGTGTGAAAACTGCGCCTGGAGACTCAAAATCTCGTTTGGTGTGTG